GAGCCCTTTGGGTGGGAAGGGGCAAAGGGAGTCTGTGCCAGGGTGGGTTTGGTGCTGTCTGGCCCCCAAAGCTTATGGTCTGCTCCCTCTCAGGACTGTGCATTATAACCCGACCAACAGCAAACACCTCGTGTTCTCTGTGGCCGCCATCCCCGAGCAGCTGCAGGGACAGATGAGTGTCTTGCGCTACTTTGCATCCTACATGGAGCAGCATCTCATGAAGGTGGGTGCTGGGCTGGGATCATGGGTAGGCTGGATGTTGGGTCATGGCTTGACCACACTGCTTGGTGTTGTGGGACTCCCTGCTCACAGGCTGTGGCCAAGTAGACACCCAGACAGTTGTGTCCTGGGAGTGGGGACCCCACTGGGGGTGTGTCTGGGTTTGGCTGTGTGTATGCTGGTGGCAGTGCTCCTGTGTGTGGGACCAGTGGCTTACATGGACCCTTCTCTCCAAGGGAGGTGACTTGCCCAGCATAGATGACCTTGGGCAGCCAGCTCTGCTCCTTCTGCAGTGGGTGAAGACGGACCAAGCCTTGCTCATGCTCTTCAGCAGTGGCACCCTCCAGGTACATGTGGGGCACAGTGGAGATGCCCAGACCCTTGTGGGGAGGAGGCCAGCTGGGGACTCCTGGCCTGTGTTAGATCTCATCTGCCATGGCCCAAATGCAAGGCCCAGCTGTCGGTATAGGATGCTGCTCCAGTGCCTGGAGCTGCTGGTCCTAGCTTGTCCAAGCCCATGGGGGATGCGATGCTTCAGTCAGCCACTTCTGTCTGCCCCAGTGCTGGGGCTGGCGTGTTCCTGCCGTGGGGCATGGGGCAGGGATGCTCCCAGGCAGGTCAGGGAGGAGGAACGGGTTGAGGCAGGAAGTGTGGCTCCATCCTGGCTCCCGACATGCCGTGGGAAGTGTGGGTTAAACCAAGCTCAACCTGTCTTCTAGGTGAACTTCTACAACGACCACACCAAGGTGATCATTAGCAAGCCTGACCACTCCTGCCTTGTCACCTACATCAACCGGGAGCGCAACTCCTATACTTACAAGCTGTGCAGCATCCAGGAGCTGGGCTGCTCTCCTGAGCTCCATCACCGCCTCAGATACATCCTCAAGCTCCTCCAAGAACGGGCTGAGGCCTAGCGTGGGACCTTGGGGGAACCTCTCTGGACGTAGAGGTCTCCCCCTGCCCTCCCATGGGATGGGAGTTATGTTGTGGTGCTGGCTGCCCACCTGGGCACCCTGTATCCTGGTGCTCAGCTAATACTCTGGACTAAGACATGTGGATGTGGTTACAGCAGCAGGTCTGGATGTCCTTGCTGCTCCCTGTCTCTGGGCAATCGCTGTCTTCCCACTGGCACCTCCTGCTCTGGCTGTGCTGGTATTGGTGGAGTGGACTGGGGTGGCACAGGGAGGTGGTGGGTGAGTGCCCTGCAGCCAGGTTTGGGTCTTGCTGTGCCTTGTTTGTGGCCTGGTGCTCTAGGTTGCCCTGGCTGGCAGCTGCCTGCAGTGGGGGCTCGGGCTGTCCTGACCAAGGTGGTGCACCAGTTGCACAGACCCTCTCCATGGCCTGGGAGAGGGCTGGTGCAACCTTGACCTCAAGGCTTGGCTCTTGTGGGGTAGAGAGAATCCCTTCCCAGGGGTGGACAGGGGTGAAGGGCGCTGCCTGCCCTGCCGGGGGCTGCATGGGCTGCTGTCTGCCACTCCACAACTGCTACACTAAGGAGGGGGCTGTGCTGGGCCCAACTATGCCCTGACCACTCCCAAATTGTGAATTGTCTGGTACAACTTGAGGTTTGATAAAGGGTGGGGGGGATAGGATCTAAGGGCTTGCCTGGAGAAGCCCTCTTCTTGCTGGGACCTGGGGAGGCTTCTTGTTTCAAGGCAGTCTCTACCGAGTGGGACTATTTATGTATCTTATTTATATGGAATTATTTATTTTCCTGTTGGTCTGTTCATGTGCAGCTCCCCTGTCCCTGACTCACCTCAATAAAAATTTATTTGTGTAAGGGCAAACTGCATCCCTTTTGCTTGGAGCTGGGGCCTTGGTCACAAAAGGGTTTTAGCTTCTTCATCCTTGCTCCAGGGCTGCTTCTGCCTCCCAGGCAAGACCCCTCTTCCAGCCTCTGGCTGTTGCTGGGGGACAAGGTCAGGGAGGCAGCATGGGCTGGGAGCCCATGGGCTATGTCCACTGCCCTTCCTGTGGCTCGCAGGAAGGGCAGAGTTAGCTCTTGCTGATGCCTGTGGAGCTCTGGAGCTGCTTCAGCTTCTCCTCACTGCTGCCAAAATCTCATTCCCAACTGTGCTTGCACTTGGCCTAAATCCAGCTGTTCTCATGCTTCTGCTGGGCTGCAGAAGGCAGGAGCTGTGGCCTAGGGGGTGGTTGGGTTGCTTGGGTCCTTGCACTGTAGCACCTGGTGTGAGGGGATATGAGCTGGGAATGGAGCCAGGCAAGAGGATGGATTTGATGTGCTCCATGAGCTTGCTTTGAAGGTGAACTGTTACCTTCCCAGTGCTGGTGTAATCAATCTGCCTGGGAGCAGCTTGCCCTGTGGGAAGCTGGCTGGGCAGCTGCCTGCTCCAGGGTAATGCAGCCTCTTGGGTTGCATTTGCCACAGCTTGGGTCTTTTTGCAAACCATGGTAGTGGAAGCTCCAGTGTGGGTGTGAGCCCAGCCTGGGGGCTGTAATGAGTGTCAAGGCACTCAGGTGCAGCCCTACCTTGCTCCCTGCACACAGCATGGCCAAAGCCACCAGCTATGAGCCACAGCTGGAGCAAACATCTTTATTTCAGCTGTTCTCCCTCTGCAGCCCTGCAAGGCTGGGTGGAGGGAGAGGTAGGTGCTACTCAAAGTAGACCCCGTGCACTGTGGCTACAGCAAAGAGGGAGGCGTTGGAGAAGGTGGCAGAGGCAAAGCTGTCGCTCTCAGGGTCCCACAGTGCCCGGCTGGCCACTAGCAGGCTCTGCTGGCCCTGCTGCCCCAGCAGCACGTGGCAGACCAGCTTGTAGCGGGGTGGCACCACCTCCTTTGCCTGGCTCCGCAGCAGCTCGGCCAGGCTCTGGGCTAGCAGGGCACTGCCCTGGGGGCTGTAGACTGTGGTCCCCAGGGTGCTGGCCAGGGCCCCCTCCAGCACCCGTTGCACACGTCCTGCGTCAAACTTGCAGCCTTCGTCTGGCCCCATCCTGTAAGTGTTTTCAAGGCGGGTCTTGAGGATGGGCTGGAAGAGGGGGAGCCCGGAGAAGCTCACGCGGCTGTGGAGCATCCAGGGGCCATGGGGGGGGTGCCTGCCCCCTGGGGCTGCCCCCAGTGAGCTGCGGCGGCTGGGCAGGGGTGCCAGGTGGGTGCTGAGGATGGAGCTGCGGCGGGAGGGCAGGAGGGTCAGTTTGCCTTCCTCGGTGCCCCGTGCCAGGGCTAGGGGCTGGGAGCCACGGCGGGTGGCCCGGAGTGGAGGGGCTTCGGTGCTGTCTGCAGCCATCACCTGGGCTGGCAGGGCCACCTCTGAGGAGGGCTGCTCGGCCATACAGGTGGCCTGGAAAAGAGACGTGGTGGCTCTGAGTGTTGGGGGAGGTGGGTTGTCCCCCAGTATCTCCATCCCACCACCTCTCTGCTTTGCTTCTCCCTACCCTCTGCAAATCCCATGCTTCCTGTCACATAGGTCCCTGCAGGGATGGATGCAGCAGGGCTGGGCGGACCATGGCAGCTGCCTTCCCTTCTGCTGCACCTTCATCCCCAGCAGCTTCACCCAGCTGGGGCTGATCCAGTGCAGCCACACATGGGCCATCCAGCCCTTTGCTCTCCCATCCCCAGATTCCACCCCCCCAGCACGGGTGAACAGCTCCTTCCCCCCCTGCTTCCCCAGCCCTCCTGTGTCTGGTCCCACACTTACCCCCCTAGCCCTGTTCCTCTCCTGTGGGGGTAAACCCAGGGGACTTGTCTCTGGCCGATGTCCTGCTCCTGGCTTCCAAGGACCAACCTTGGTCCCACAAGTCACAGTGAGCAGGGCCAAACCTGTTGTGCTCCTGGAGCGTGAAGTGTTGCTACGTGACACTGCAGATCTCCAGGGCCACTCTGGGGCATGGCTCCCGTAACTCCTTGTTTCCTGGTCCCTGGACAGCCCTCTCTGCTTTCACTCCTGCCCTGTCTGTGTTTCCAGCTGCGTCAGCACAGGGACATGGTTGTTCCAGGCACGTGCCCTCCAACCTCAGCTGCTCCCTGCAAGCCCCAAGAAATGCTTGCTCATGCTGAATATGCGAAGGAAGAGCAGGGGATGGAGAACCACCACCGTGACCTCTGCTTTGCACCCCAACTATGGACTGCACTGGGGGTAGGATCTCCAACAGCTTGCTTTTACCCAAAGGTTTGCATCCTTCAGGAACTTATCCCCCCACCCTGCAGCAAGGGAGGGTGTGGGTGAGTGGGTACCCACTGAGTGCAGCCCTGCCATGTGCTGGGGACCCTGCTGTCGAAATGCCCTGGCCCGAGGGCAGGCTTGCTGGGGGCTCTCAACCCCAAGCAGGCTTTCTCTCCGCTGGTGGAGCCCAGCCCAGCTGGTATGTACGCCACGGCCACCCCATCAATGCGCCTTTGTCTTGCCCGGCTGCCGAGCTATTTGAGGAAAGTGGAGACGGCTTTTGTGTTTCTATCTCCCGGTCAGAGGTATTTATAGCCTGCCGCTGACTAGCGCTTCCCAGCACGCTGGCAGCTGGACCCCCATTCCTGGGGGTGCTGCGCCGGCTGTGGGCCCCGCTCCTCCCTCTCCCTCCCACCCGCTGCTGACAAGCGAAGGTGGGTCCCTCGGGGGACACCCCTGCATCCCCTGTGCTGGGGCCAGCCAGGCTTGGGAGAAAGGGAACGGGGCGCTCCCCTGGCACAGCACTTGGCTGGGGCTCGGCTGAAGCCGGTTATGCTTTTTCTGCTGCGGT